AGTCTAGCCTGTCAATCAGGTCACAGCCTGATCCCTCCCTGTGAGCCTGGCCTTCTCATGAGGATTGTGGGAACTCTCACTCTGTGCTTCACCTTCCTGTTGACAAGCCACACTGAGCCTTGCTGATGGCAACCAGAGTCCCGGAAATGCATCCACTGCCATTGGATCCACAGGACTTTCCAACCAACAGCCTGTGATTTTTCTGCATTCGGCATAATTGTGTGTGCTGAATGGGTCTGAATAGGAATTCATGAGTTAATATCAGAGTTATGGGCTAATATTGAACTTATGGACTTGATCTGGCTATGTTGGCATGTTTTATTGATACATAATTACTGCTTGATATAAAATTCTCTCTTACACACATATGAGTGTTTCTGAATTTGTTTCTCTAGTTTACCTGGACCAACACCCCATCAGCACTCGAAGCACCCTGCTTCTTCCAGGAGATATTACCTTGAGGTCCATAATGCTACTCTTTGTGCCTTTTAGGGTGCTTTGATCCCTTCTTGGTAAGGAGCCCAGGCTTTGTGAAAAATCATGACTTGTGTGGGATATGGTGCTCCCAGTGTTCTAAGACAGAGTGTTGTTGTTTATTATCTCTTGTTTCTTTGGACCCTGACTCATGGGGACATCATTTACAAAGGAATGAAATACTCAGTCTTACTCCTTCTCTATGATAAGTTATGGATCAAATCATTATGACTCCTTGGGTTTTTCTTAGCTGAGTTTTGGAAAGAGAGGATCAGGTTTTTCTTCCTAGTCTGTCTTAATCTGGATGCTTGAGAGAAATGTCTTCTACATCACAGTCCCACTGACAGGTAGGTGGCTGTGCATGAGGTACTTTGGTCAGGAGTCAAACCAGAGAATCCTGCATGGTATGTAAGGCTTGTACCACTGAATCACCACTGTCTCTGTAAATCAGAGGAGACACTTAAAGCCAGAGAATAGAAAGGAGCAAATAGCAAGCAGGTAAAGAAGCCTCAGACCTTGATGCTTTGTTCCGATGTTCCAAAAGATGAACTCTCCAGTTTGGAGGGTACAATGAAGAAGGCAGTAATTTGGAAAGGGAGGATGTTCAATGCACTCCAGAGTCAAGAGAGACGCCCTGGGATTCCAACCTCTCCTCTGACTTTCCTCTACCTTTGTCACAAAGCTGAGACATGGAAACGAGGAATCCTGGGTAAGCAAGAGGACAAATTAATTCTCAAGTCATGTACTGCGTGTGGACTGAATTGGTAAAGGTTAAGTGGAGGCCAAAAAGAGAAAAGAAAGATGAGTGAATTTAGAGAGGTTTTGTGGGAAAAGGATACTCTGAGAGAAATTCAAAGGGGGATGGGGAGTTAGGCCTGGGGTGTGACTGTGGTGATCACATACTGACAGATGTTCCAGCGTCAGTCACCCAGCTTCTTCAATCAAAGAGCACCTACGGAGCACATTTGTTCTTTTTCAGCATCTATAGCTTTTAAGGTGCCCTAGTGTTGGCACAGTGGAGACACAGTTTCTGCTTTTATTGATGTTACGGAATGGCATAGTCATCGTAGGACACTAGGCATCCTTCTTTCTGACTGCTCGATGTGCTTAAGTCGATGGCAACATATTGCCTCTAAGAAATCCACTGCTACTGACTCCAGCTGGGAGATTAATAACTAGGCAATTAGAATGGCTCACATTCATTAGGCGCCCATTATACTTGGCTCTGTGCTGAATGAGGTAGGACATTTTGTTGCATACTCTTTAGAGATTGGGAGAGAGGTACAGAGAAGTATGTCTTATCTAAAGTCATACAACTGGTTAGTGACAGAGCCAGGACTTGAACCCAAAGCTGATGTTCTCCTTGAATAACTGTCCTTGATTGTTTGGGGGTGCACCAGGGTGAGGGAGCAGTCATTATTCAATAGTTAATTATTCATTTTATATATGGAAAACAGGCAATGTGTAGAGGAAGAAGGGGTATAGGAGTGTAGGGCAGTGCCCTGTGCAGTGGACAATGATAAGTAAGATTCTTGGAATAGGCAACATAGCCCTAAAGTGAATGGTTTTTTGAGGAAAGCAAATAAGGAGCAAGGGATGTAGAGGCAAGGAAAGGAGTCAGGTAGCTAAAGAGCAATGGTTTACCCAAGAGCAAGACCTATCGGCCTCACAATTCTGAATCAATTTTATTTAGGTCCTAGTGGGATTATTTGTTAGGGTGGCTAGTTGAAATTTATGATGCTGGTTATTTAGATGAAGGAACAGGGAGGAACTGCAGCTGACTCCAAATGGTGACTGTGCTTGTGTGTGTAAGAGATACAGAGTGCAGAATGCCAAATAATTCTTACTTTGCCATTGCACACTGTCTCATCAGGCTTCAAATCAACTGTTTTGGTCTGCATTTGGTCATTCCATATCCAGGGCCATTCTATGGAAGTTCCCTTGTTCTCTTGCCCAAATTCTCCAGGTTATCCCTGCCCAGTTCATTCTCTTCAAATGAACTGCACTATGTTTTATTCATGGTAACACTTGCTACTAGTTCAGCCACTTCCTTCTTTCAACAGTCTCAACTGAGTGTTTACTGATACTGGCAAGTTAATGCTGCTCCTACAAATGGGATCCATTCTTGTAACACAAGGAGGTGAAGGCATTCCTAACGTTTAATTCTTCTTAAAACGAGCTTATAACTTCCTATAATCCCCATTTGGATGCTTTTACAACTGACAGTGTTTTAGCTTTAGTACTTGTAAAGAACAATCTTATGGGACACAGCTCTAGATTGCAAATCTTATTTAGTTCAATTCCTGGAAACAGCTGAAATTACATCCCAATTTCATCCAACATAGGTCTTTGTAAATATACTTTCACCCCCCACTTTTTAGTGTGTTGTTTTGGATGGAGAGGCCATCAAAAAGAAAGGATATCTCTCTAGGACCTCAAGCTCCCTCTAGCCAACTTGTGGTACAGCTGCTCAGAACAGTAAAAGAAAAATGTAAATGACATTTGGTAACAATTTCAACTTTATTCCCATTTCTATTTCTGAATGAAAGATGATGGAAAAAATCAAGCAGAAAAGTGTCTTTATATCAAAGAGGATGAGATAATTAAGGTTTATTGTGCCACCCTGGCTGATAAACATATGTGGGATTAATTGAAGGGTGGAAAGATAGATGGCTCGGTGAACCTCACCTTTCTAGGTCTCAGGTTTCTTGCTCTCTGATGGTCAGACCAGGGTGCAGCTACCTTAGCCAGTTCCCTGCTTCAGCTTGCAAGGCTCACTTCCTTTGAGACATCCCTGAGGAGAAGCCACATGGACCTACCCCGATGCAGCCCTGGGTGCTGGAGTAGCCACGTGGAGACCCCTGCCAGGGCTGAGATGCTTACACACTCACTACTTTTGACTTTCCTCTTGCAGTTGGCATCATTGTGTATGTTTTGTGAGATTGAGGAGGACTTTGTAGATCGGTGGCAGACATATGGGCTAATGTTGCACTTGTGGGCTTGGGCAGCACTGGGTTGGATGCTTTCTTAATGTACACTTACCCTTTATTTTATTTATCTCTTTATTTGTTTGTTTGTTTATTTTTAACATTTTATTAGGGGCTCATACAACTGTTATCCCAATCCATACACACATCAATTGGTACACTTACCCTTTATATAAAACCCTCTGTGGATTTCTGTGGATTTGTTTCTCTAATCTAGCCAGACTAATACAGGGGAATTAAATGTGTTTTGGGTTTATTCCCAGTTGATCATAAATGTGCTCTGGAGCACTTAGTTGTTGTTAGTAGAGTTAATTCCAACTCATGGCAACTGGATGTACAAGAGAAGGGAATCTTGTTCAGTCCTGCATCATTCTGGCATGCTCAAGTTCATTATTGGAGCTAAAGTGCAATTTCATCTCATGTAGTGTCTGGTGTTCTATTTACCAAACATGATGTCTTTTCCAGTGGTTGATGTTTTCCTTGAACATGTCCAAAGAAAGTGAGTTGAACCATGTTGGGTTGAAATCTGTAGGGTTTTCCTTGGCCAATATTTAGAAGTTTGTCATTGGGCATTTTCCCTTAGTCTCTTTTAATCGGGGAGCTCTGTCAAAGCCTGTTCGTCCAAGTCACTCTGCTGGCATCTGAAATCTAGCTTTCAGCAACAGGTGATCTAGCTTTCAGCAACAGGTAAGTCACCACATAGGCAGCTGGTGGAGAGTGGTACCTGTTGTTGTTGTTAGTTGTTGTCATTGAGTCGGCTCTGAATCAGAATGACCTTATAGAAAGCATACCACTGACTGGGCTATGCCACCCTCGTGATTGTTATTATGTTTGAGCTATTGTGTCAGTTTGAGCTATTGAGCTTCCTCATGAAGTCTTCCACTCTTTCCCTGACTCTCTACCCACCATGGTCCCACATGCTAATGTGTCCAAAGTAAATGAGCTGAAGTCTCCCCATCCTAATTTCCAAGGTGCATCATGTCTGTGCTTCTTCCAAGTCAGGTTTGTTTATTCTTTCGGCATTTTATGGTACATTCTGTTTTTTTTGCTAACAGCATAATTCAAAGGCATCAATCCTCTTTCTGACACCCTATCACTGTCTAGCTTTCACATGCATGTGATAACGGAAAATACCTGGTACATAGTATATGCCTAATAAGTGTTAGCAGTATCACTCTTACAGCATGAGCATAGAGAAAGCTCGACTTTAATACTTTTGTGATCAACACTAATATTAACGTTCTAAGGTACAGAGGAATTAGGATAGGTACATCTAGTAGCATAAACTATGGTCATTTTTTAGTGATAGCTGTTATAGGGGACTGGTGGATCTTTATTCTCAGAAATCCAAAATTCAGTTCAGTAACATTTGAAATACACTAGCTAAAAACAATCTGAAAAATCAAACAGTTCTACCTAAGGCATGGAATGATCCGTAAAATTGAGGGAAAGAAGCATTCAACAATGTATACCCTGTTTTAAGTATTGTCATGCCACTGGAATTTGGTATCAGCAGGAGCCCTTGCAATTCACACTCACCACACCGAATCCTTTGTGAGCTTCTTGTTTACATTCCCATCTTCTTCCAGAAAGATATCCGTTTGCAGATTGGCATCGTTATCGTGGGCTGAGAAATAATTGGTAACGACTCTTGCTGGTATCCCAAGGCACCGCAAAACTATAGGAAAGAAGAGAAGACCGCATCTGAAGATATCCATCATTAACAGATTAGTAGCAAACAAAAACCCAGCAAACCTTTTTATAAGGACTAAGTCCCTGAAACCAATAAAACAACCAACAAACAAAATAGTTAACAGGAAATCAGGAATTTACAAGCCATGACCTTAGTTCACTCTTGTGACACTCCATGGAGGATGACACCACAGATTCATTTTAATTGCTAGGTAATAAATTACCTGAATGCATTTCTTGCCATATGTACCTATTGATTAAACATAATTCGAATGCCCTCTCTGGCTCCCAGGACTCCAGCCATCAGGGCTCATTGAAAATAATTCATCTGACAATTTTAAGATTAATGACTTGGCTTGTCTTTTGTTCCCCTTAGAATAGTTTAGCATTTTTAACCATGACTATCCACCCTTCAACAAAATAACCTTGAAGTCCATACTTGGGACTGTTAGAGACTGAAGTGTCCTCCTCCTTAAATAACTTAATCTTAAACCCCCAAAACAGTGGCTGCCACCACTTGTCTCCCATTCCTCTCATTCTCATTCTAGTGATGTATGGCTCCTTGCATGGCAGAGATTTACCTATATTTTATCAACTATGCAAGGGCATGTAATTGTGTGGATCATAACAAAATATGAGTACCATGGCAAAGAATAGAATACTAGAACTTTTAATTTTGCTCATCTGAAACCTGTACACCCGCCAGTGGCAGTTGCTCAAACAGAATCGAAGGATACTGTGTGGTTTAAAATCGGGAGAGTTGTGTGTCCACATTGTATCTTTTCACCAAACTTGTTTTTAAATTGATTTGAACAGTTTTTTTGACAAATAATTCACATATCATAGTGTTTAAGATTTTAGGCATTTTCCCCCCAAAACCATTTTAGTGGGAGTTAACATAGGTGTCATATCATCCCATAGTTCAAGCAGTTTTGTATGATTGCTTTCACAATCAGTTTCAACACATTCTCTTCATTCCTGAACTCTTTGACATAAAATCCTATTTATCTTCCCACCCCCACCCCCCCACACACACCCCACTGCTGTACCCAGAAATTCTTATTCTACTTGCTGTCCCTATAGAGTCACTAATCCTGGGTTTCATATACTGGGAAAAAAGCAAAACAAAACATCTAACAAAAATTCAAGAGGGTGACCCCCAATGACATAATGCATCTGAGATGAGCCCCATTATGAACAAATAAAAAACAAAACAAAAATACAGAAAATATTGAAAACCAGATCATGCCTAATGTCATCAGAGGGGGGATCAACTGGAAAGGTTTTAACCATTCAAGACAGGTTTATCATTTTGATCTTCTATGGTCATCTCTCCAGTGCACTCTATTTGGTAACTAGTTTTGTTCACCCCTCTATTATGGGTGGAGGGAAATCATAGGAGGCTTATTTCCTATGTAGATCCCATACATGAATCTTGGGCTCCCACTGTCAAACCAGATTCTCACAATCTAGGTTCTGATATATTTCCTCCTTCAACTTCAGATTATATGATTTACCATCCGTTGGTCACTGATATTGATGTGCTTCTTCTATTTGGACTTAATTAACATCTCACTCAGATGGCTGCTTGTTTGGAAAGCCTTTAAGACTCCAAATACTATTTTATCTGATATCCAGGCACCAATTCATCTTTTCACCACACTTTGCTGTAGCACTCCCATCTTCTGTGTTCCCTTCCTGAGGACGAGTGTCAAACAGTACCATGATGAAATAACTAATTGTTCTTAAATTGGAGAGAGCCCCCAAACCCATTCCTGGATCTATGGATTTTTTTTGTTTTGTTTTGTTTTAAAATCTGCCTTTGTGTCCCTTTCCAAACTCCCTTGTTAATTTGCGGTAGAGAGTCTTATTGATTATCCCCCTGGAGCATAAATGATCTTCCAATATTATTGTCTTTAATTAGACCCTGGTGCTAATTTTTAGAGTCCTCTTGAGAGAGGGATAGTGGGCCAATGTAGGCCAACTCCATATCACAGTGCCTGAATTATTCGCTTTTACAGAATCAATCCTTTTGTGGCTGAACACTATTTCCACAAACAATGGGAGTTGATTGTCAGTGGAAATTTACAATAATATTCACTGAGATTGTTTGTCACTGGTTTGCTGGAATAATATCCATCTTAATACAGCATCTAGGGCATTGATGTAGCAAAATCTGTTTATTCACCTACCAACAGTTCCACAATCATGGCACAGTTGTTTTCTTCTTCCTCAGACACCATGAATTTTCAGTCTTCAGTCTTTAGGTTACAAGCATGTCTGAGGTAGAGTCCCATTCGCCCAGTGGATTTTCCACATCAGATCTCACTGATGTAGGCTCTGAAACATGCTGTGAGTCTTGAAAGTCCAGGATTCAATGCCCCAGCATTCCATAGCACCTGGCCTGGGTCCCCAGGATGAACCCAGAAGCCCAGGTTACTGTGGTCCATTTGATGTATACCACTACGGTCACTCATCCAATAGGATCCCCCAAAGCATTTTCAGTCATTCTTCCCTCCACCTAGAGGTCAGTCCTTCCACTTGTCTTTTTTTCTTTTATTTTCTTTTATAAGAGTTTTATATAAAGGGTAATTGTACATTAAACATCCCAACCAGTCCAGTCCAAGACCATAAGTCCGACATTAGCCCATATGTCCAACATCGATCTACAAAGTCCTCCTCAATCTCACAAAACACATGCAATGATGCCAACTGCAGGAGGAAAGCTGAATCAGTGAACATGTAAGCATCTTCGTGCTGGCAGGGGTCTCCACACAGCTTCTCCAGCACCCAGGGCTGCATCGCGGTAGATCCATGTGGCTTCTCTTCAGAGATGTCTCAAAGGAAGTTAGCCTTGCAGCTGAGGCAGAGAACTAGCTAAGGCAGTCACAACTGGTCTGACCATCAGAGAACAAGAGACCAGAAAGGCGAGGCTCGCTGAGCCATTTATTGCTCTACCCTTCAATTAATCCCACATGTGTTCATTGGCCAGGTTGGCACAATAAACCTTAACTATCACATCACTCTTTTTTCTGTTCATCATGATGCAGTTGCGAGAATTTTAGTTTTCTTTACATTGAGTTGTAAGCCATACTGAAGGTTATAGTCCTTAACCATCAAATCCTTCAAGTCCTGCTCACTTTGAGCAAGCAAGGTTGCCTCCCACTTTTCTTACCAACAGTCATGCTTTCGTGCTTCATCAGATGGTTTTGCTCCCTTTCCCCTCTCCTGAGTTGATTTTCCCATCTGTATCCCTCATCCCTCTGATAGTGCTGAAAAGTTTAGACATGTTTAAAAGAGTTGTGCAGTCATCACAACAATTGATTTAAGAACATTTTATTCTTTCTCATGCCCATTATTATAAGCTCCACCATTTCCCTACAACCTTCCCTTCCATAATACCAAGAAATCCAGTTCCTGTATCTACAGATTTATCTATTCTAGATATAAAGATATAAAGAACAACAGACAACAATAAAAAGAAAGCAACAAAAAAAACCCCCACAGCAATAACAAAATAAAACAGAAAAACTTGAAACGAAAAGAGAATCCAAAATAATAAAATATCGAACAAATTTCAAATGGGTCACAAGGGAGAACAAATGATATGGTGTTAAAGTATAGCCTACCTACATCTATTATCAGCCCACTTTCCAGTGCACTCTGTTGATAGCAAGGCTATTCACCTCGTGTGTCAATGGTCAGAGGGACTACATCAGAGACTTAATTTCAGTGGGGGACACTGCAGTGGAATTTGGGGCTTACACTGTCATTCATGTTGTTGTTGTTAGGTGCCATCGAGTTTGTTCCCACCCATAGTAACCCTATGAACAACAGAATGAAACAGAATGAAATAATAGTTCATATGCCTGAGCCCATTGTTTCAATCCATCTCCTTGAGGGCTTTCCTCTTTTTCACTACCCCTCGACTTTACCAAACAAGATGTCCTTCTCCAGGGACTGGTCTCTCCTGACAACATGTCCAAACACATATCAAATCTTGCCATCTTTGGCTCTATGGGGCACTCTGGCCATACTTCCTCCAAGACAAATCAGTTTGTCCTTTTAGCAGCACATGGCCCTTTCAATATTCTTCTCCAGCACCACAATTCAAATGCATTCATTCTTCTTCAGTCTTCCTTACTCAATGTCCAACTTTCACATGCAAACAAAGCAATTAAAAATACCATGGCTTGGGTCAGATGTACCTTAGTCCTTGCTTTTCAATACTATAAAGAGGTCTTGTGCAGCAGATTTACCCAATGCAATGTCTTTTAAGCTCTCAACTGATGCTCCCATGAGCATTGGTTGTGGAGCCTAGCAAGACAAAATCCTTGACAAATTCAATCTTTTCTCTGTTTGTCATGATGTTACCTATTGGTTCAGTTGTGAGGATTTTGGTGTTCTTTACATTGAATCACAATCCATACTGAGGGCTGCAATCCTAAATCCTCATCAGCAAGTGCTTCAAGTCCTCCTCACTTTCAGCAAGCAAGGTTGTGTAATATGCATATTGCAGATTGTTAATAAGCCTTCCTTCAATCCTGATGCTACATTTTCCCTCCTATAATCCAGCTTCTCTGATAGTTTATAAACATGCAGATTGAATAATATGGCGAGAGGATACAACCCCGATGCACACCTTTTCTGATTTTAAACCTTGCTGTATTCCCTTGTTTTATTTTCACAACTGTCTCTTGATCCATGTACAAGTTCCACACGAGCACAATCAAGTGTTCTGGACTTCCCATTCTTCGCAAGGTTATTGATAGTTTGTTATGAATCACACTGTTGAATGCCTTTGCACAGTCAATAAAACACAAGTAAACATATTTCTGGTATTATTTGCTTTCAGCCAAGATCCAATTGACATTAGCAATGATATCCCTTATCTTATATTCTCTTCTGAATCCTGTCTGAACCTCTGGCATCTTCTTGTCAATGTACTGCTGCAACATTTATTGGATGATCTTAAGCAAAATTTTA